CGGTGTGTGAAAGTATTCAAAAACAGGGCTTGAAATTGATGAAATCATATTTGAATAACATTATTCCACGATTTCAATCGTATAAATACAAAGTTAAATATTATAGTTGTTGTATAGTATATATAATAAATTGNAAAAAATGAATTTTTCTTAAGTTAATAAAAAATCATCATTTTTAATTAAAAACTTATCATTTAAATGTAAATAAGAAAATCTTATTGTAAATTTTGAAAATATCTTATTTAATGTACTGTACACAGATAGAAAAAACTTGAAATTTTTTTTTCTAACTTATTATTATAAATTAAATGGGCAAGACCAGATTTACAATAATTGTGGCCCCAGGTAACTCACTAGTGACCGAGTGGATAACACTATTAAACACTAACAGTTGATCGCGGGTTCGTGCCTCGCCAACAGGCCGGCCGGTGGATGATTTCGGGTTTTTTTCACTTGTTTGATTGCTAAACGGGCCAGTTTTTCATGGAAGACTTTAGCTTCGGCATCTCCCATATTTTGTGTTGTGTTATTACACTAGTGGTTTTCAATTCGGGTGTCGCGGAATCCTAGGGTGCCGCGAAGTGCAGTGCTGAGTAGCACTATAATACTTCTTATGTGTATTGCTAAAAGTATCTCTGCATTGATAAAGAAGTAGGAGTGTCACATAAAATACCAAATTTCGAGTGCCACTATTAGAAAAAAAGATGAAAACCAGTAATGTAGTCATGCCAGAGTGTACCTGGGCGATGCCCTTCTACTTTTTTTAAAGCAGGGCGAAGTCCTTGTACTTTGTAAACATCCAGGTTGAATTTTAGACTTGTTCCTCGGCCCAAAACAAGAAAATTATTTCTTGCACAATTTTTTTTTGCACTGGCTACGAATATATAGATTATTTCAGGTGCATTTAATTAATTTTGCAGATATTGAGCCATAAAATGCTCTATGCCCGTATAAAACTTCATAGACGGTGGCTCTTCCATTGACAGTTGCGATTCAAATTTCGGGAGCAGGTTAAAGCCCTGGAACTTTTTAATTTACGACTACACACCTAATGAAAACGCTGTAGTAATCCAATCCAATCCCCAAATTATAACATAAGAAGTTCTTAGCAAATAAGCAATTTTTATTAACAATAATTTAACTCTGTACTGATCTGAACGTTATAATATTGTAATACTAAAAGCGAGGTCTTAAGTTGTTTAAACCAGGCCCTAAATAGTAGATTTGTAACTGTAATTATATCAAAAGGAAAGATTTTAATTAAGAATTTTATGTTTTATAACTTTAAAAAAAAAAGATATTTTTTTAGAACCAGAAGTTCTTGAAATCGATACAATATCATAAATGTCGTCTACAACTGCAATCGAAACAAATTTTTCTATCAAACTATTGCCCTATTATTTTTCGTTTCGTCTCTCAAGAAGTAAAAATGNCGGCATCTCCCATATTTTGTGTTGTGTTATTACACTAGTGGTTTTCAATTCGGGTGTCGCGGAATCCTAGGGTGCCGCGAAGTGCAGTGCTGAGTAGCACTATAATACTTCTTATGTGTATTGCTAAAAGTATCTCTGCATTGATAAAGAAGTAGGAGTGTCACATAAAATACCAAATTTCGAGTGCCACTATTAGAAAAAAAGATGAAAACCAGTAATTTAGTCATGCCAGAGTGTACCTGGGCGATGATGCCCTTCTACTTTTTTTAAAGCAGGGCGAAGTCCTTGTACTTTGTAAACATCCAGGTTGAATTTTAGACTTGTTCCTCGGCCCAAAACAAGAAAATTATTTCTTGCACAATTTTTTTTTGCACTGGCTACGAATATATAGATTATTTCAGGTGCATTTAATTAATTTTGCAGATATTGAGCCATAAAATGCTCTATGCCCGTATAAAACTTCATAGACGGTGGCTCTTCCATTGACAGTTGCGATTCAAATTTCGGGAGCAGGTTAAAGCCCTGGAACTTTTTAATTTACGACTACACACCTAATGAAAACGCTGTAGTAATCCAATCCAATCCCCAAATTATAACATAAGAAGTTCTTAGCAAATAAGCAATTTTTATTAACAATAATTTAACTCTGTACTGATCTGAACGTTATAATATTGTAATACTAAAAGCGAGGTCTTAAGTTGTTTAAACCAGGCCCTAAATAGTAGATTTGTAACTGTAATTATATCAAAAGGAAAGATTTTAATTAAGAATTTTATGTTTTATAACTTTAAAAAAAAAAGATATTTTTTTAGAACCAGAAGTTCTTGAAATCGATACAATATCATAAATGTCGTCTACAACTGCAATCGAAACAAATTTTTCTATCAAACTATTGCCCTATTATTTTTCGTTTCGTCTCTCAAGAAGTAAAAATGCCATTTATATTTATTACTTTGGAAGATTATTATTATTTTTTTTATTTACTGCAAATTTTTTTAAAAGAAAAATTCAATTAAAATGAAATAAATTCCGTTTTAATTGAATTTTATTTTTAATAAAACTACAACATTTATTTTATTTAGCATGTTCCGAGTTTAGTTATAACACTATTCGAAACGTTCATAAATATTTAAAGATATAAATAAAATTTCAAAATTTGAATAATTTTATGACTATAAATAAAATAAATTTTAATAAAAATAGCAGAAGTTATTTTCCGAATTGTCATTTCTTACTTCTTCGTTGGGTTTAAATATAATTTAACTTTAATGTAATTTTTTAAAAAGTATATTTATAAATCGTAAGAAACTTTAATGAATATTAATATTTAGAAAATACGACTAAAGAAATCGTAATATCAAAACACTTAATTATATACTTTACTACACTCAACTTCCTTCGTGCTTATTATATAACTATAAAGCAATTATGTACAGTACTGTACATAAAGGTCAAAATATGTATACCGTATATATATATATATGTATGTACTGTACGTATTAGGTAAAAGTTCTGTACTATTCAACATATTCGCATCAAATTTGCCATGAATGTTCTTTGACACCTAGAAAAAATAGTTTGAAGGCCTCGCCACCAACCACCCCTAAAGCCTAAACATGCTACAGCTTAGGGCCTCACGTTAAGAGAGGCCTCATTCTATTCTCAAAGATAGTTTAAACATATACAGTAGAGCGTCGTTTATCCGAAAGTCGGTTATCCGAAAGCATTGCAGTCGGAAATTTTCGCTAGTGCTGTGGCGCTGCAATCTTTGGCTATATCTTGGGCTACTCCAATATTTTTTTTTATTGGTGTGTGTTTTTTAGCTGGCAGCACTGGCACCTTTGTGTGGTGTTTTTCTGAGGACTGTGTCGTGCTGAATCGAACGTTCTTGATACTAGATCATCTTCTAAAGTATAAATTTTTTGGGTTTTATATTTTTCAATATATTTATTTTGTTTGTAAGAAATAAAGAAATAATTTTTAACGATACAATAGCCACGATTATTATTTTAAAAAGTATACGTTAGGCTTAACATCGACGAAAATTCAACGCGAAGCGACACGCAACGGAGAAAAATTTCAACACGGGATAGGTTATATTTTTTCGTACATAATCGGTTATCCGAAAAATAAGTTATCCGAACAACCTCAGTGCCCAATAGATTCGGATAAACGATACTCTACTGTACTCCATTATTATTTTGTGAAGGAGAAAGGCCTCTTATATTATCATTATTTCCTCATATAAATTTATAAACAGTCTACTTAGTACTTTTTTTTTCTTTTAGTTCAAAGCATATTTTGAGAAATTATTCTTAAAATACAGTAGAGCCTCGATTATCCGACTCCCGATTAATCGACACCTCGGTTAACCGACCGTCCTAGTCGGCAAATTTCAAATGTCCGCTAGTAATGTGGCGCTACAATATTTGGCTATGTCTTGGCTACTTTAATATTATTTTTACGTGTTTTAGCAGGCCTCACTCATTTGACCATGAAAGGGAGCCAGTATTTAAACGAGGCTTAATTTTCTAATTTTTTACGATACAATAGCGACGATTATTATTTTAAAAAATTTTTGTTAGGCATAACATCGATGAAAATTCAACGCGAAGTAGGTTAATAGCGATATACTAATATACTAATTACATGGGATATAATAATATACTACACTAATAATGGATTTTTTCATACTTTTCGGTTATCCGACTTTTCAATTATCCGACCAACCCCAGTCCCCAATTGAGTCGGATAATCGAGGCTATACTGTATTGAAAATCCTATCTCTCTCTCAATAATAATTTGATATTATTTACATTACAATTTGCGTGTTTACACTATGGCTTATTATTAATTATTTTCATAAAGAATATTTTATTTAAATTAAAGATTTCTAATGATTCGAAATAACTCATTTTATAATTCAATAATTTATTTTTCAGTTTCTTTAAAGCTTTAGTAAATATTGAAATAAGTAAATAGAGAATTCTCAGTAGGAATGTCTAATTCAATAATGTATTCTATTAATAGTTATGAATAATTCAGAATTTTCACGCATTCTTAAATATTAGAAATTCAGGCGTTATCATAATCTATCATTTATTCTTTGATGTATTTCTTGTGTTGACTTTATTTATTTGTATTTGCAATGATGCATAATATTAGTTTCATACATATTTATGAATTTGGTGTGTTTTTTCTTGAAAAAATATATTCATATTTTAATGTAAATCGATTGTAAAATAGGAAATTTTTCTTCATTTTTTTACACATATCTACTGACATTTTACAGAATTTTACGCATTTTTATTGAGAATAATAATATAATTGGGGCATATAATATAATTTCCTTGAGGCAAAAACATGTTAATCCATATTTTTCAATAAACCACTAGTGATTAAGTGGATAAAACTATTGAACACGTAATTGATGTTGGCCAACGTGGAGTTTTCCAGGTTCTTCACGTGTGTAATAGTCTATGAACAAAAACTTAGTAATTTTCTATATAAAATTTGCTAATTTACAGTTAATTTAATTATTAAATTAATTAATTATAATGCTTTCAGTCAGAATAGATCAATAGACTTCGTTGTTCCAAATATCACAACAGCTGTAACATCTTTACCCAGTCCAGTGGATACTGTATCATTATCATCCGGATCTTCACCAGATGTATCTTTATGGGCACGATTGGCTCTGTTGGAAGGAGGAGGACTCCCAGGTACAGTTGCACTTTACTATAAAGTTAAGTTAATAATACACATATCTTATTAAATCATTAATATTCTCTAAAGGTACTTCTTTACTCGGTGGTCTTAATCCCGAATTGTATAAAGTTGGACTGGAGGAACCGGAAGAAGAAATATATTTTCCGGATGGTAACAAGGGACGTATATGGTTCGGTGTGGAGTATGATGCTTCCTCAGAACGTCTAGTAGTTCATTTGATTAAAGTGAAAAATCTTCCTTCTAGAGTATGCGGTTCTATAAATTGTTGTGATCCTTTTGTCAGGTTGGTCATTTTCTTGAAAAATATTTTATAAGATAATTTAACTCATAAATTTAAGAAAAATGTAAGAATTTGTTCAATAAATATTTAAGGTATTTACAGGATATTTTTGATTTTACTAAAATGAATTGATAATTGAGATAAAAATTATGTCTATAAGTTGTATCATTTTCTTCTCCGTCTGAGCACTAAGAGGCCAGTAGGTGAGTGGTGTGACATTCGGATTAAATTGTCCGTGAAAATTTAAGTTCCAATCTGGATCCGGTCCCGGGAGAGGTTGGATAACGCTTTTATCCTCTTGGCCATTCTGCCTTCATAAATATATGTCAAGATTAATGTAAAATGGCGCTTACGTTTTGCGACAAGAATTGCTATTTGCTATTACCTGATGTAGAAAGCTGTTATTTACTGTTTATTTGTTGTTAGTCAATATAGAATATTGAAACTTTAAATATAAAATATACTGCATAAATTTGTGTTATTTAAAATACAATATAATCTGTCTAAAACGGAAACCGTACGAATTTCGAAACGGAATTATTTTATACGTTAAATTTTACTATAAGCCGAAAACATGTCCAATGAGAAATGGAAAAAGATTTTTAGGAATTAAAGAAAAAATGGAAAAATTTTGGTACCGTGTAATTCATGTATATGCAGGTTTTACTGTGTTATATAATGTCATCGCAATCGCGTAAAGCTTCAATCTACTGCTCTGGGGGATTCGAGAACAAATCCGGGCGAACAACACCAGGAATTTTTCAAAGGCGGTCCATCTCGAATATGTCGGGCCTCGTTTGTCATCATTCATTGTGGGCCTGGCCGAATCCACGATGGATGTGATTTAAAAGACCCTTAAAGTGGAAAGAGCACCAAGAAAACAATTACTCGATTTGACAACATGAAAAATACTTTAAAACTTAGAAAAATAAGATTAATTAATTTTGCAAAATCCAATTTAACTAAATATAATTAATTAATTACCAATTTCTTTATTAATTCAGAATATCACTGATGCCGGACGAGAGAAGATATCTTCAATCGAAACAAAAGAAGAAAACATGTAATCCACGATTCGAAGAAACATTTATTTTTCAGGTGTTTGTTTGATTAAATTTTCATTTTGTTTTAGTTTACTTTCAATTATATTTCATCATTATAAACTTGTTATTTTTAGATACCCGTTCGCACATTAAACGAAAGAGCAATCAAGTTGACCGTATACGATAACGATCGTGGTAAAAGATATAATGTCATCGGCCACGTCATATATCCTTTACGTGAATTAAATGGAACTACAACTACAGAAACACTATTAAACTGGAGAGATTTAGAAAAGGAAGAAGTGGAGGTAAATTTGTTCCGATCGATTATATTTTTATGCAGTCCAAAAGATAAATGTTTTTCTGCCTTATTTTTAAAATTATTTTATCATAATCCCTAAAACTCGTGTACTAATTTACGTAATCTAGATTAAATTCGATCCCTGGTGTGATTTATTGGTAATACAGTTATGCTTTGTTTAATTTAAATTGAATTACATGGATTAGATTGATGGGATAAGGCAATGCAACCATGAGCAATCTGCAAAGGATGAGTGTCTCCAGGGAAGACTTTCTACGTGGAGGGAACTGGCACCTAATTTAGGTGTTTAGATACACGAAGAAAACCTAAAAGACTTTATGTGGCCTGCCTGTTGTTAGGCACAAACCCGACACCACAGCTACCAGTGTTCAGTGGTTTTATCTGATGGGTCACTGAATTACTTAAACAATGGAATCCATACTAAATGTCAAAATGAAAAATCAATACTGAATTTATAGAAAATGTATGGTGACATTTTATTAAAATATTTTAATTTCTATAGTTAAATAATAATAAAATTAATAGATACTTATTTAAACGTTTAATAAATATGCTACAATATTAATATTTATCAAGTTAAACATTAAACAACTGTAGGAAAAAAAAGTCTGTTAAGTTAACAAAACTTGCATTGTTCTTTCGACTTTATAAAATTAATTGTATTTTACAGGATTACTGAAAATTAATTAAATTTTTAAGAAACTTTCGTAAAATGACGCCCGTTTAAGATCTAGACTACCATTTTTCATATAAATAAGCCTCGGAAACCATTAATCTAAGTCTACCACCATCTATTCTATTGATAGATCTGAAGCTGGTAATTAATAATTACTAAGATTTCAATGTAAAATTTAATTACCAAGTATTTAAATTTAAATGATCATCTAAATGGTGGCAAGTCATTGTAAATGTTTAATTGCTAATGTGCTTCTTCAGGAGTGCATCGACTCAGCTAAAGTGACATAGCAACAGCGAAGGAGAATGCCCGAGATATAGTAACCTATAAACTTGTATATAAATTTAATTACAGATTAATATTATTGTTTAAATTATTTCATCTGGCTTGATCATAATTTTCATTAAATTAACATTTCTTTAATTTATGGAAGTCTGTCAATATTGAAGTCTGGATGTCCAAGAGACTAATGTTTGGCAACATACCGGGAATATGGGGGTGGTCTTCCCTGTTCTTCACCCCAATTGATACATTGAAAATATTTACAGTGAAGTATTGGAAATAATACTGGATTGTCTTTTGTTCTCGTTGTAATTGTTATGAGTAAGCATAAAATTGCTTGAGAGAACGAATCATACAAGAATACAATTAAGATAAATATACAAGTTTTTATTGGTTTTTCATACGCATTTCGGACAACATGTCCATCATCGGTCCTCTTTTAAATTTTACAGCAATCTTCATCACTGATTATTATGCCTTTTTTAAAGATTTTAATTAGTTTTATTCCTTTTTTTCTTTTACAAATCTTTCAACTTTACAGTTTTAATTGCATTTTATTACACTCCTTTTTTTTATAATTTACAGAATATACAAGTTTCTTTATACCAATTTTTAATTTTTAGTGTTTTAATAGAAATTTACTATAACCCCTTTTATAAAATACAGGTATTTTATTATACATTGGAATACATTTATCACTATTATCTATAAAATACATGCAATTTCTGTATCAAGATTGTTGTACAATTTAAAAGAAGACCTGCATGGACATATTCAAACTGTTATGTAACAAATAATGTTTTGAAAATTTTATTTGTGCTGGGCATTAGAAAGACAATATTGATTTTTTTTTTTAGGTTTCTCTGACAGAAAAAAAATGGAAAGGGAATTCAGATCAAAAGGTTAAAATTCTATAATAAAATTTTCAATTTGATTAAATATTTGTTTATTTTTTCCGCCAAAGGTGAAATGAGATAATTCTTACAATCCAATATTAGAAACAGATTTTAGCAGAGAAAATTGATTTTTGTTTTCACTGTGGCGAACACTGTACAAGTAATAAAATGCAAAGTATAGCGCATGTTAAACAATTTTCTCCTCGTTGATTATTTATAAAAAGAGAAATAAACTATATATATATGTATACATTATTTCGAGCTTAAGAGTGGCCAAGCCTGAACACTGGGAGTTCGGTCGTGGATTTGCGCCTTGCCAGGACGTGGAGTTTTTCGGGTTTTTCCACATTTTGAACGCCCAAATAGGGGCTAGTTACCCTTAGAAATACCTCCGCAAGTTATTCCCCCTAGGCAGATCGCCCAAGTGTTGCGTTGTCATAACTTAACAAAACAATCGAGTTATTAGAGATTTCAAGCGAGTTGTAACAGAACAAGTTGAAAATAACGTACCCAATTGTTCTAATGTTCATTCATAAGAATACAGATCGATTGCTGTTAGCGTGCTAACCACTAACCGGTTGAATAAAAGCGCTGTACGGGTCGTGGATTTGAGCCTACTGGAGCTATCTGAGTTTTCTACACTTATCTGACACTTAAATAAGACTAGTTTCCCAGAAAAAGACCATTCAAGAGGAAAATGCCTTGGTAGATCGCTCTTGTATTGTGTTGCCTTATCACATCAATCTAATTCCAATCGGTTGACACTGAGTGGAATTGTATCCGGGTTCGAACTTGATACAGACCCCCTAATTTATCATGGATTGAAATCGTTTACCACCCTTCATTGTGCTCCTATTGAGGTCGGGAACGCCCATAATGGGCGTAATAGTAGTGGATCATATAGCTCGAACGTGCTGGAAACTCGCATTAACTAATCAATAAATCGATCATAGTAATTCCGAAAATCTTTTAAAACTTTTTATTTTTTTATCTTTGAGACACTGTATTGAATTTATCAATATATAAAATGAAAATTTTATATGTGAAGTAACTCATTCCTTCATTTTTTTATGAAGAAAAATGAATAATTTAATATTTGTAAAACAAATTTTAAAGGATTTTAAGAAATTTTAGAAAATTTTTACGAACGAATTTTAAGAAATTTTCAAAAAAAAAGTAATTGCGAAAAGTAAATTTGCATTTACATTTTTATGCAAAAATTCATTCGTTAAAGAAAAAAAATTTTTTTAATGTTATTTCACTGTAACAAAATAAAAAAGCAATAAATCTTTTATTAAATATAATTTAATGCATTAATTAAATATTTATTTTTATCCCGAAAATAATACATTTTTGAGTGTATTTTCTTTCGACCGGAATTCTTTTCTATCGAACAAAGAAAAGAAGAGATAGATCAGCGACCGTGAAAGGATGCTTTGTTTAATATTTAATCAAGTTAAATAAATACTTTAATTAAATACATCAGAAGAGAAAATTATAGGAGATGTAATTCATTCAATATGACGAAAGTTAGTACGAGTTCAATAAACCATTTCTCTCGAGGAACATTTCGAATTTCAGACAATAGATTTTTATCTACAAAATAGGTCTTTTGTAATGAAATATTGAATTTCTTTCAAAGTTAATAAGATTAGTATTTTTGTCATCTACAAGAAGTACAATAGAATTGCTATTCTGTTTGTAAAAAGGGGGAAAGTTTAATTGAGTCTTTGGTAGAAAAAGAGAGAAATTTTATTAAATAGTCAAAATGTCGTTTGGGTGTTTAATGAAGCGAACGGTCGCGTAGCTCTTTAATTTGGTTCAAAATCGTTCTGGGGTAAGTGAACGATCGTGTCGCTTCGCTGATTGCCATTTCTATAGTCACGCGAATGTTCTGTGGTCATTAGAATTGATTGCATTAACAAGAATACTGTAATGTCTGCAAAAAGAGTGCCTCTTGAGAGTATTTGCTATGTGAGAATGACTCTAATTTAAGAGGCCAGATGGCCGAACGGTGAAGGTGGCAGCCTACCGCTCTGGGGACCCGGGCTCGAATCCGAACAGGTCGAAAAATCCTCAGGAATTTTTCGAGGGTGGTCCGTTCGCATATATCGGGCCCCGTCCCTCACCACCCGGCAGCCCCATTGTGGGCCTGGCCGAACCCATAATGGGCTTGCAAAAAGAGGCCCTCTTAGTGCCCACAAGGCGGAAAGAGTTTAAAAAAAAAGACTCCAATTTAGGTATTAGGCACGTAAAGAAACCCGGAAAACTTTACGTGGCCACCCTTTGGTGAGGTGTGAACCCTCCACCACTGTTCAATGCCTTATCCATTCAGCCACTTTTGGCCTCCCATCTTCCTTCATTTCAGTGCCATTCTTAGGCGCACGAACAATGGCGCCGCATCGTTCACTAGTTATTTTCTTTATTTAACCCTTCAGATATAGAATTTTATTATTTTTTGGGAAAAAAANAGTAATTTTTTAACAAGTATTTTGAAGATTCAAGTGAAGATCAACTATGCTGTAATGAATATATTTAAATTTGGATGAATTAATAAGATATATTTTATGTTGCTCCTTACATTCCAGATGTGAAAAAATAATGAATACATACACAAATTAAGCTTCGTACATCCAAAATAATTCAAGTAATGGCGCTCCAAACTAAGTAGGAGTAGAAGCTTTAGTTATGAACGACTTAAAATTATGCAATAAATTTGTTTTATTACAGTTAATATTTCTCGGCTTTATAGTATATATAAATATATATTAATTTAAGAGGTTGTTAATAGCCTGTAATGAATGCTATATGACTTAGCAAACAATATATATATGTATATAATTTTGATTGCATTCTATCTAAATTGGTATTTTCTCATTACGAAACAAACAAAATGGCACAAAAACCTATTAAACAGTTGGCACATAAACTAAAGAAACAAATAAATTAGATTACTTTATCAAATGGAAGATAGATGAACCATTAAACAACGTAAAATAGATGTAATTGCTTGGCTAAGCAATTTCTTACATGTTAACGGATTCCATATCATTTTAAAAAAAAGAGCGTCAATGAGCCAGTGTCTTAAGTAGTACATATTGACAAAGCAAAAATAGAAGAAGAGGGAAGAAAAAGATTGAAAACTAAATAAAGACAGATGAAATGATAAAATGTACAGTGCCAACGTGTAATTTTTCTCCGCAGAT